GCTTACGGCTGAATTGAACCTTCGCGCGAAAAAGGCAGTGATCGGAACCAGTGCAGAATAATGGGACTACCAATGTGCCAAGTAGGCACCATCTTCCCTTTGACAGAATATGGTCGATCTCCGCATGAGTCAAGCCGCTAGGAGACTCCCATATCCAGAGGCAGCTTTCTTTCCATAGAAGAGACGTGGTGCAGACAGGAGCCCTGCGAAACGTATTCATTCTCATTTCTTTCTCCTAATCCAAAATTTGCGATTCTATATTCGCTCTCGTTGGACTTTCCTATTTTGGCGTTAAAGTTTTCGACAACAAAACGCTTGATCATTGCAGAAAACTTCCTCCAACTGATAGTAGAGTGCATCTAATTCGAACTCATCAGCTTCATTGGTCAATGAGAAGCAATTATCGATTACGGTCTTCGTATGACACGTTAGTTGAAGACGAAGAACGACTATGGGAGGGGAAAGGATCACGTATGAGTCTACAAGATGGACAATGGACAGGTGGACGACAAAGACTGCGCCGCCAACATTTCGTGAAGGGACCTTTCCTCCGCGAATCACAAGGGTCCCGTTGTTTAGCTGGCGCATGTCGGTCTTTCTGATTTTTGTTTCTTGCAGTGCAATCACATAAAATTTAATGCCATCTGCGGCTGCAAGAAGGGCCTGAAATTCGGCGTCCGTGGAGAGTGTTCTGGAATTATGTGTGCAGAGTAAGAAATAATCTTCATGGCGTGTCTTGCGTGTGTTGGTCAGATCCAGTTCCAATGACGTCCTGCTAAACCGAGATTTTATCGCCTTTCACCGGACGTCTCACCGCCTGACGTCATAGAAAGAAGCAGCCAGTGTGCGGGGTACTGAGTCTGGCCTATTGCTTGTTGTGGAACTTGGTCCTCCCTGGAGTTTTGACATAACCTTGCAAGGGCGGATCCAGGTCTTCTCCAAGATGCCGATCCGAAAGAGGTGTGTTTTTGGCGACGAATCCTTCGCTCCTTCGAGGTTAAGACCGAAATCAGAAACGGAAAAAGGAATGGAAAAGTAACCGACCGCTCAAGGACGATCTAGAAGCCGAAATCCGATTTTACAATACTCCGAAAAAATAGTTGTGCTGGAGCCCTCAAAAACCAATGAAGATGGGCTACCCAAGTATCCAAGTAAGTATTGCAATATGTGTTAAAAAGACGTTAATGTATAAACCACTCATGAACGTTGGTGAGATTTTTATTCACATGTTTTGGCCGAATCAGTGTTGAACCAACACACACTGAGTGGAGGCCATCCGCGGATAGATGCAACAATATGCTTATAAAAATGCCCAGGCACAAATTACTTCGCATTAGATTTTTGCAGTTTTCATTGACATTCATTCAAAAGCAATAAGAAAACCATGTGAATTGTCCAGCTATGCATATACTCACAAAATACAAACTCGCTATCATCTAAACGTGGTTCGTGATCTTCATAGACCTCAACGTATTGGAAGCAATAAGATATAACGTAGACAAAGAAGCAAACATTCAAAGTAAATTCAGAATGGAGCAAGCTAAAGTCATTAAAAAAAAGGATAAAGCTCTCGAAGCTGTTCAGTCCCTGAGAGATGCGCCATGCATTAGACTTCACGAAGCATCGTTTGGAAGTAAAAATGCATATCTGGCGTTTACAATGACTGGCGGTGGCCTACCGATGCATCGAGCCAGCGCTGCTATCCTCCCAGACAAGTCTGGTACCATTTTTTCGACCCCGGAGGGATGGAAGGCTTGGTGGGCCATGGACGCGAGGGTCGATTCCACGTGTGTGTTGCAGGGTGCCTCCGACCACTGCGCCACACGCGCCCTTCAAAGCCATTGCTTTAAGAAACCATCAAGACCGACGAAATTTCCCAAAAAAGAAGAAAAAGTCATGTCATATTTTTCGAATGCTAACGATTTTGCATTGCACTCCAAATTACATTTAAAACTGAAAAAACTAACGATATGTTGTAACCATTATTGTAACTGTAATAATCGTAACTTCTTCATCGCTTTAGAAATATGTATTAAATCACTGGAAGTGCTGCAAACAATTTCACTCTTAATTTCTTAAAAATAGAAATCCATGTGATTTTCTTAGCCGAAGTTTACAAGACACAAAGCGGAGGCTATGAAACAATAAATATCCTGAGGAATGCCATCCAACCAACACTGGCAAAGAGAAGGGGAAGGATGAAGTAAAAGTGTAAAAGGAAATATAGACAACATTCTTCAAATTCACATGTACTTCCTATACAAGCTACTGCACCGCTTTCACATGTGCTTTCTGATGTAAACTTGAGACGAACTTTTTGTTCAAGCAGTTAGGTCAGAATGTGCTAAGTGAGAAATATTTCAGAATTCCTCTTCCAAAATTAACTCTAATTTCTTCTGTTGAAACTCCACCCATTGCAAGACGAATGTAAGAGAGCAAGAAATAATGTGAGGAATGTATTAACAGTAATACGAGTTAGCTGGCTCCACTAGTGATGTAGCAATCCTCCAGGCTTTTCTCGCGCTTGTATTTCCTAGCTTTATGGAAATCGTCGCATGGTTGATATTGCATTGCTATTATTACTGAAAACCGTTGCAACTCAGTATCTCAAACGCGAAAAATCCCGAGGTGGCAAATTACTACAAAGTCGAGCATTCTATCACGAACTAGTAATTATTCGGATCTGACAAATGACTGAAACTACCGTAGACCACGAGGCCAATTCATTACAGGAAATGGTCCAGAACAAAAAAATTAATTTCTATGATAAAAAAGCCATAAACTGATAAAGACAGATTTCATACATATTACTTACTAGTTTTTACTTAAATGAGAACACTCAGACCAAATTGGTAACAATGCGAAGTTAGAATTCCATAATATCTGCAGTATCAGCTCATCTTTCCCGCGCAACAGACATGCAAATTAAATCGCGGGAGGGTCCGAACCGGTTTTCTAACGAATTATTGTGTTTCCGATAGTGTTGGTGCTAATGTTTATACACTCACTATCTTAAATTTTACGATTCAGTAGCACACTTTCTTTTTACGTCCCAAAAAAACTTCGATGGAAGAAATCGTTGAAGTAATTTCAACGATTTTATTCATGACAGATCTAGTAAGTGATGGTGTACATGAATTTTCCAAGCATGTCATTTGTCTCACTTTCCAGAAAAATGTTACAGACTATATCGACTCTGAAAGTTTCAACAGACTTGTGATATGTGATTTCGACTACAGCCTCACTTCAACTGGGTTCAATGACAATTTGTGCTCTCCAGATCAATCCCGATGACGGGTGACTGCTAATGGAAGTGTCAGGTAGAAAACTAGCTGAGAGAAACGCAGAGTGTGCACACCTGTGGCGTCGTGTGTAATACGCAAGCTCCCATAAAGGGAAATCGTGTTCGATCTGCCCCGGGGTCCAAGTTCTAGGAATATCTCAGCACCGTTGTGGTTGACTTATGATGTGTTAACTTTTCCAACTTCGTAACTATTTTTAGCTAGTGAATTAGCGTTTGCAGTAAGCTGTCAGATCATCAGCATAGAGTAATTTTTAAAAAATGAACCTAATTGGTAATGAAATATGTGCTTATGAAACAGTACTACACTAAAAAAAGTAGCATTAGGCACTTCTACGTTTCCGGAAGCTAAATAATTCCAAGGATTTCGCTCATTCTTTTTTTTCTATTCCCAACGCTTTTTGTACAGAACTAACCTATAGAACACTAACAATTAGGCTTACAGAAGAGAATATACCCAGAATTTCGTTGAATTTTGGAAAATCATCGGCGTTAACAATTTTCAAAAATTTTTGCTGAATCTATTTCTCTTGCACAGACATTGAGCTCTCTTCTGTGAAAAATACCAGTGAACATTTAAGCGAAATCAAACTCGTTTAATACATTTGTGTTCGGGGAAATATAGTGCCAAAAAGTCACATTTCCTTAACAACAGTAATTTGTCTTACCATTAGAGCAGTAGCTCAAAGTGGAGGAGTAGAGTGTTACGAGGAATGGGTAATATCCAGTGGAACACACAGATTCCCTAAATTGAAAAGATCTTCAACAGAAACTCCACTAATTACCTTCATTAGCGATAATAATGATGACAAAGGATGAGCTATTCTCTGAGCGTGGCTTTAGCCCTATATAATCGTTGTCCCAATGATGTCTCATAAATGACGTTAACGAATGCTGCGGAATGGTGCAGACACGGCAGGACCTTAGAATTGTGGGCCAAACTAGGTGTTCGAATAAACTGGCTTTACCGAATGAAGGTGATTAAGGGGATCTTCGCAAGTATAAACTGACGACGATCATCTCGACGTACACACTATCAATTTTAGATGAGTAAGTGAACAAACAGGAAGTCTACAAACATTTTGGTGTGTGGACCACAATAACTTTAAAACTCAGACTACAGAACTACACCGCGTGTACCATCTACCACTTGTTTTAAACTATTTCGACCATGAAAATGTGTTCCACAGCATCGAAAGCAACGCTGTTGCATCATCATCTATCGACTGAAGGATGGATCCTACCCAAAAAAATACGTTAAAAATGCTACCTAACAATACTCCCACGCAGTGATATCGCGAAAGAATTTACGCAGATATTACTCCTTTACCCATTTATTACCATCGCCTTAGGAAAAGGGTTCATCAGGCGTCACGCTACCTCATCAAAAATGTCCGTACCCTCACTCCAATGGACAATAATGCCACTCTATTAGAATACCTATAACATCCTCACTTTCCCGATTACGTCATCATATTAATCCTGACCACTTGTCTGTAACACTGCATACCTGTGAATGTAGTAATAAATTAACAACAGCCATAGAAGAAGAATAAATTTTACCGCTTATTAGATCAAATTACAGTAAATACATTCATTGTGTACAAATACGTTGATCTCTAATAATTAAGAAACACAACACTCATAACAATAATTACAGCATGAAAATATTACTGTCAACAAAAAAATGAAGAGGAATTCATGTGAAGGAAGTGACGAATTCATCAGATTGAAAGAGATACTTGTCGATTTCTTCATCATCATCTAGCGTTGAATTCGTTGTTGGTTCTACACCGGATAAATTCATGTCTGAAAAAAATGGCTATTCAGTGTCATGTAGAGGTAATGCAACGCTCTGCCAAATCTGTCAAATCTGCCAATCAATGCCACTGTGAACTGACCAATATCAACGAAATAGAGTTCGTCGTCAATAGGCGGTATCTCGTCAAGTTCAGAGAATTTAAACTTCGACGAGTCGTCCTGTTGGCATGAACCCTGACACATAGAGCATAATAACAAATGTGAATGGTAACACAATGCAAATATACACACGCTACAGCATATCTCTTAAAAAAAAGAATATCTTGTTTTTACATGACCCATTATCACGTCTGCTGTCCGGATCTCAGCTATTCTTGCATTCGATTCATTTTGCTAGCAGTCGTCGTCCATAATTCCCATCGAACATTTAGCGTTGTTTCGGCTGCTGCTTGGGGATTTCACCTTCTTTACGAACGTCGTAGAATACTGGACTTGCAGTCTTGGAAACAGACGAGCTGAGGGGTTTCCACGTGGACTGGAGGTAGGCGTTGGCGAGGGCATCGAACGAACGCCTTTGCTCTCTAATCGACGGCGCCACTAACCACTGCAATATCCCCGACCCTACCTAAAAATTAGTTGAAAGAAGTAAGAAAAGACTCACTTTATCTTCTTTGTTGTCGAAATCCATGTCTAGACTGTAGCCTACCTTACACTGGCAAGTGACAGTCTTTTCGCTACAGTAACTGTTTTCCACAACACACCTAAATATAGATGGTTTCACGGTGTTCGATTCCTACACAGTTACATTTACTGAAATATTTTGGATAGCTTGTCTTAACGACGAGTGGTGCAATTCTTAACACACTTTTCATTATTTCTTACGTTGTTGCTGTGGAAAAACTCTTGTTTATCCGGTTTCCTTAAAAACACGGTCAAATGCAATCTTTTCTCGTATCCAATGGTAATCGTCGTTGGCATTTGCAAATTGGAGTAATGTATGTCACATTAAAACCAGGTTTTTTTCTCCTAAAACGGCGATCATTTGTAGTTTCTGTTACTCGTAGTTATGCATCCGCATGAGAAAAGACTGCGTCCTTAAAACAATGGTATATTGTGTAAATCTACTGTCAGAATGAACCATTCCCCGCTTCCACCGGTAGATTGCATACAACCAGTTCGCGCCGAGGAACACTCCCAGCCACGTTAAGGTAGTAACACATTAAAGAGAAGCAAGCTTGTTTGGTCTCCCTATAATCTGGTTTTCTAGAGAAATCATAACTGACCGTTTTTCTTCGACTAGTGTTTCCAAACAATAACCGCCGATTGTGCCATTTTCTCTTCCGTCAACTGAATCCATAAATATCACTGTTGTTGGGTCGTAGCACCTGATAAATAAAGTTATTTAAAGATCCTTGTAAAAAAAACAAAACCAGTTGTTTTACTTCACTTCTCGTTTTGCTTATGAGGATTGTATACACAATAAAATAACCATGTTGCTAAGTTTTAAAAAAGGCCTACAACCTTCCAGCTATGTTTGCGAAACCCTCTGGACAACCAGAAACGCATTTCCCATCGTGAACGAGCGGTTTCGTTACTGGACACACACAATAGCCATTATCGCAAGTTGCATTTGGTTCTCTAGCAACGCACTGCTTATCAGATAAACAGCCCTTTTGGCCTGCGAATAATACTGAAAGGAATGATCATAAAACAGAAGACTTTAGCTACCCGCAGAAGCAACGCTTTAAAGCGTAACTTGCCTTTCAAACATTTTCCATCTATAAGGAAGAATCCTTGTGGACATACTAATTGCTGAGGACCAGTGGAAATTTCGCTGGGAGTGATCTGGGTGGAAGAATCGCTTTTAGTTAATGCGGTGTTGGTCGAAGACAAGGAACAGCATTGGAAACGATTTTCCTGAATTAAGAACATAGCCAAGAATGTATTCAAAACATATCGGACCAAGTACCGCTCGAGGAGAAATCACTAATCCTTCATAGCTAATAAAAGACTTCAATCGCTTACACGCACTCGCTTAGTAACCACTTTAACTGCTTTTGAAAAAACCAAGAATACACCAACTACAAACACTTATGCTAAGAAAAAAAGCCAACAGTAAGTGTAAGGACATACTAACAATACATACTCCTCCCAATACAATGCCTTTTAAAAAACCTGACCTTTTCCGCAAAAAGGCACATGAACCCAATGGGACAGGACTGTTCAGCACATGTCACGACAGTGTGATCCACTCGAACGAGAGCCATTGAGCCTATTGGGCACCCGCCAGGGACTGGATGCGCCGTTGAAGGCCATTGACGAGAACCACCTGATCCTGTAGAAGAACCTGCACCATAAGCATTGCTTAGCATGTTGTTTGTATTTGAATTTCCAGCAAAAATTCCAGTGGGCATCTGACCAAGGACTCGCTCAACGATTTGGGATGCTATAGCTGATGCTCCCGCAGGTGGTATGGCTCTTGATACTTGAATCGTCGAGTAAGAATCCATATTCTGATATGGCTCAGGGAATCCATGTTTATCCATGTTGTTAACTTGTTTTCCGTTTCTTTGAAGTTGGAAATTGGCTGTCAGTGCAGGAGGCAAAATCTGAAATGTCACGAACAACAAGCTTTCAGAATCAGCAAAATTTAAGTCAAACCAACTATGGAAATAGGTTACCTTCTCTAAATTCACCCCTGGAATACGATCAGGGATTCCTATAGGACCAATAGGCGGCAGAAGCTGTCCACCTGGAAATGTTTGGGACATCCCAGCATAGGGATGTGAAGCAGAAACGGACGTAATTTCAGGAGCTAAATATCATTGCTAGATAAGCCGTTTTCGATAAGAATAACATAGGTTAACATAAGTCACAAGTTAGTCACACAAAGAATGTGCTTCCATACGAAACTTACTTATGCCCTTCATAGGCGATGCTGCCATAGAAATATTTGGAATGTTGGGAAAAGATGAGTCAATGGGTGCACAACAGTAGGAATCCTAGAAATCACTATAACCCAATCAAAATAAACAGGCCCCAACTAGTCGTAAACGTAAAAAGTTTACCTGTTTCATAGCCGAATAAATACAAATGTAGGGAGCCGTGGTTGGACAAGGATTAAGTTGCATGTGACAAGTAGGAGGAAAACCTTCTCGCGAAACGTACGGTATCTGGTTTGGTGGGCAAAAACCTTAATACCCACTATTCAAAACAAAGGAAATCTGAGAAACTGTGTTTTGCATGGCTCAAAATAATCAGATATAGGATACTGCAGTAAATATTAAACGAAAGTGACTTTTGAAAGAAATAGGACAAAAAATTTGGTTGGTTCATTCATGGTGAGCGTTCTCCTACTCAGTAGGGTAACAAATTGATTCAGGACACATAGTTCAACTGGACACCTCGAAATTGACCGAGTTCATACCTTTGAATTGCTCACTGAGATCGCTCTGTGAGCAGCAAATATATTGTCCGGCTTGGTTAGATTCCATGCAGTGGTATCCAATCGGGCAGGAATCTCGTAAAGGTGAACAAAACTGTCGTCGATTCAGTGCTTAAAACCAGTGGGAAATAGAATCCTATAAACACGTATAACGGTAATAAACTCTCACACCCAGTATTACCTAGATCAATAAATGCCGTTCCCCGCAAACACTGGGGAGGTGCCTGCATCATGAAGGACGCCATGGAACAGCAAAGATGATATTGTGGATTCATCGAAGGAATGCATGCGAATCCGTTAGGACATCTTAAATTGGCCGTGAAGAAAGAAATGAAGAAAAACGTTTCGAAGTGAATGAAATGAGTGAAGTTTAAACCGTACAAGTCAACGTACATACCGCAGTGCGAGCTAGTTTCGTCAACTATAACTTACTTGGGACTTTCTAAAGAAGACTATGTATACTTACTTAGTACTCCCTGCAGGGCATGCTAGCGGTCGACCACCGTACTCAAACGCGGACGAACCTACAGGGCAACGAATCGACTCCGAATCACCACAGCACACAGCCTGACCAGTTGACGAGAACTCACACCTTAATAACTGTCGATATGAAAGCTAAACTCTGTGCGGAGTCCGAAGATCAACTCTCTTTAACCTCAGCAATAATCAATAATTCACTAGTTTTCTGGTGAGCAAGCACGAGGTTGCTACTACAGCATTTGTTAGTACACAATAACTTTCGTTTCGGCGCTTTCGCGTTCTTAAGAGCCTGGAAAAAAGGTTAAGTTGGCACAGTCTGCTCAGCCAAGCACTTTCATAACCTCAACAGCCAGAATTTACATAAAGTTTCTTTTGCATAACAGTTTCATTTAAAAACTTCTGTAGAGAAGGCGAAACCACCGAAACGCCAGCTCTTGTATACTAACGAATACTGTAATGCAAACTATGTAAGTAAAGTAACGTAAAATAAGCAGTCCCGGTGAAGGATGATTGATGATTGTAACGTTAGGAAGAAAACTAGCTAAGAGAAACGCAAAGCAAGAGCCTCCGTGGCGCAATGTGTAATCCGCGAGCCTTGGAAAGGGAAACCGTCGTTCGACCTGGCCCAGCGTCCAAATTTTGCGAATATCTCAGCAACGTTGTGGTTAGAAACCTTGGGTATGCTCATAAAAAAAAGCAGTGAATTATACACAGAATTCCGTGAAAAGTACGAATGAGTTTAATACAAACTTGTATCCAGCCGGACAGTCATCTTGAATGAACGAGCATCCAAACACGACACCTGCTCTAGCAAGAGGACGATCACCATTTCTACATTTAGTTTGAGCATGAGGACGAGCCATCACCTGAAATTCGTTGCGTAATTTCTATTGTCTCCCAACGGTTTACCGCCTCATCGCTCCTGGGTGTCGGGCTGCGAGGTACAGCGAAAGATTCATCTTCACGACAGTGCCTATCAAGCTGAGAAGGAGTTCGGCGTTTCTATCAGCAAGCCCAGCTAAGGGTAAACCAATACCAGGATCCACTATTGTCCAGGTATCAAACTAGTCACATAATGGCAAATCTCCCTCTGATCCACAAGGGCGGCGACAGCTTGTGGTGGTGAAAACCTGGGGCAAACCTTGGAAAGGCTAACCTCTGGACGCCAGGGAAACATAACGGCTAAACCAGGAAAAATAAAGAAAAATGGAAATTATGCTAGGGCCCGAACAGCCAGTGAAGACAGGCCACCCAAGTACCCAAATAAGTAATTTTTATTCACCGCATAGAAGTTCCTTTTAAAAATACCACTCACATTACTACTTCCACTTCTGAACTCCGAAGACGATCCATAAAGCTGACAACAGATTGATACCTTCGGGATATTAGAAGTAATACATCGAGAGTTTTGTGGACAACCGCCAAGATCAGCTTGACAGATTTGCACCTGTAAAAAAAAGGAATGTTTGGAAAAATTAGAAAACCACCGTAATAAAGTTTCTTAAAATCCAAAAAACCGTAGAACCTGTGTGCCAGACAAAAATACTGGTACGTATTGCTTAATGGCGCATCTAGGTGGTCCAGTACGACAACATGATCCATGCTTAAAACCAACATCACGAAAACACAGGTAGTTACGAGGGCAATCACCTTAAACAATGCATTGCTTCAAAAATATTCAGCAACAAGAACAACTAGGGACCAACCTACCAATGGCGTTAACTGTGCATGTCTGTCCATTTGTAGTCAGTTGTGCTGGACATGGTGAAATACTAAACATTATGTAATAAGCAAAAAGAATTTGATTGAATGCCTAGAAGCTATATAAATCATGAGCTATGACAATGAAATAAAACATAACCAATGTAAAACATCCCAATGTCCGAAAATAATTTAAAAAAAGGGATAGCAAACCTTCTAATAAATTCAGCCAACGTTTCCTGCTCCTTTCGAGCACCCCCGAATTTGGATTTCGAAATGCGACTGACTGGCGACATAGTTGAGCAGCACATATGAAAGCCAGGTACTGAACTGAAAACGGATGACCACGTTACAGCTGACGAATCCCCAATGTTATTTAAGTCAGTTATTTGAGTTAGTTTAAGTTAGTTATTGTAATCTGTTATTGACCACAATCTTGAAAGGACGATGTTAGGACTATCCCGTGTCACATAAGTAAGGAAAAGGATCAAGAATCAAAGATGCCGTTCTGTACGTTATATCGTCGAAGATAAGTGAGCCGAACACGAAGTGTGTGTGAACGACGACCGATAGACGAACGCTGTTAGTGACTGGATTCCTCGGGATGTTAAACGTACTGCAGGAAGACCACCGACCGATGGTCAAAGTTATTCATGAAAAGCCTAAGCCTAGAAAAAAGTTATGATGCTCAACGAGTCCTTAGAGCGAACAGAACCCACTGAGCTACTCTTGCACGCGATAGGGAAAAATGAAAGATTTACTGGTGCCCGCTCGAGTCACTCGACGACCAACGGGACAACAGGTGAAACAAGTGATTTGAAATCACAATGTTATACCTTTTTATTTTCTGCCTACTATAATTTCGCGGCAGGGTACTAAGCGAAATACAACCACAACGTTGCTGAGATATTTGCAAAACTCTGGACCGCAGGTGTCTATGGTGGGGAACGAACGCGCTATTGTCCTTTCCGGGGAGTAACGCGTTCACCACCACACCATGCGGGTCCTTTGTTTCGCCTGTCCCTCATCTATTTCTATCGATCTTTGCCACAGCAATCACCCGTCAGCGGGATCACCCTAAGCAAAAAATGGCAAAGATCGATAGAAATAGCTGAGAGACAGGCGAAACAAAGGACTCGCATGGTGTGGTGGTGAACGCGTTACTTCCCGGAAAGGACAATAGCGCGTTCGTTCAACACCATAGACACCTGCGGTCCAGAGTTTTGCAAAAATCTCAGCAAGTGATTTGAGTCAAAACAACATTATTAAAATAGGTATAAATGTAAAACTAAAGTGAACCTTGATTCAACGCATGTGTTGCCAGCTGGACATTCGTCGGTTTCGATATTGCAAGCAACTACAGAGGTTGACCCTAAGCGAAATAGGTTGTAGAATCGAGAATTCATTCAGATATATAAAACGTCTTATAATAAATGGTGAAGACATTTAAAAAATCGTAAAAAAGAGAGTAAGAGAACGTAGAAATCTGAAAGAAACCTGGAATCACATAAGGGATTCGGTTATTTGGACATGATGTAACGGCCTGACAACATATCGGCTGATTAGTTGTTGAACGAACACAAGAAGCTGAGAATGGACAAGTGCCCATAACATTTAGTGTACACTCCTGGATCGTAAGATAACATTGGAAAGTGATAGGAAAACAAAGGAATTTCTTCAAAAAGCTCTAGAAGGATAAAGCTCTCGACGTTGATCTACCGCTGAGGCATGCGCTATGCATTCGAATTCATTAAGTATCGTTGGAAATGATTGAATGCTTATTTGGCCTTTACAATCACTCGCGGTGGTTTACCGATGTGCCGAGCCAATGCTACTATCCTCCCAGACTAGTCTGGTAGCAATTTGCCGACCCCGGAGGGATGGAAGGTTTGGTGGGCCATGTATGCGGGGATCAATCTCAAGTGTAATGCAGGGCGCCTCCAATCACTGCGCGACACGCGCCCCTTTAAAAGAATCTAAACGCACTAGAACACACCTTGACAGTGGTATCGCCATACTCGATAACCGGAGACATTCCACGTGGACATGATCCAGAGAGTGATGAATTCACACAAGTCGAGGTACATGCTTTCCGTGAAGTGAATCGATTCGCTGTTCCACCGCATCCTTAGCAAAACGAAGTTGGTTAAAAAAGCGACTAAATGGATTATTTTTAAAACATTTAATGAAATAATGCGATAGGATCAGCCTGATTCATTGAAACAAACCGGTTTTTTCGAGGATTTTCTACGAAACGCTTTGGTGCGAAAAATAGATGGAAAAAAGCTTAAGTTTGTAATACATGGAAGTTGAATGGTTGTGTTTCTGTCTAACTTTACAGTGAGCCTAATGTGAAAACGGTTTCATATTACCGATCTGAGCACTGCGACGAGAAATAAAATTCGTTTCTTTTTCCCACTTCCAGGAAACCTGCCAACGGTTTACCGCGTCATCGTGGCTGGGTGGTGTTCCCGGGCGACAGGATGCGATGTACAGTGGAGGGATTCATTTACCTAGCAAGTCCCCATGCCGAGAAGGAGTCCGGCGTTTCCATCAGGAAGCCTTGCTAAGATTAGAGATACCAGAATCCACCACCGTCCTGGTATCAAACTTGTCGCATGGTGGCCAATTTCCCTGATCCACAAGGGCGGCGACTGCCTGTGGTGCTGACGATCTGGGGCAGATTTTGGCTAGGCTGGCCTCGGGACTGTGGGAAAGAACAATAGCAGAACCAGAAAAACTCCGAAAAAAATAGAACTTATGCTAGGCTCCACATAACCAGTGAAGATGAGCCATTAAAGTGTCAAGTAATTAAGTACCTCGAGGAAACACCGCAATAACCAATGAACTATCCATTGAACAGCGAACCAACCATTGTAGCTAAATTCAATGCACTTCGCTTGTTTCTGATCGTAGTACCACATTGTCCTGAGTGGAACACCTTCGCATACATCACCTTTGCTTAAGGAAGCAGAACAAGCTGTTTCTGAAAATCTGGATTTATCCACCGTTTCTTAACAGAACTGACAACAAATTTTGCTTTTCGCAATACACTGCACCCTACCTGTGTATACTACAATAGTGAGAATAAAGACACAACGGGTACTATGAGCACAGCTGATTTTTACCTGCCAACGGACAACAGTAGTGTTCTGGATTGCAAGCGTATCCAGATGGACATGGGACGGCACCGGAACAACGTTGTGGCTGCTGATTCGGATCCATGAGGACAGCTGGCCCATCGCAAACTGCATAAGGCAATTATCGATTTTTTTCCATTCGGTTTGATCAAAAGAGCCAAATGAGATCAATCTCAGTTTCCACTACTCAGCTACAATCATCAATTGCGCATTCTATTAGCAACGCGATTGTCTGAAAGGTAAAGGTAATAAAAGTTAAAGGATAAACCCCTCGGATTTAGTCAATCCCTTGGGGATGCGCCATGCATCCGACTTCATTAAGCATAGCTAGAGAAAGCTGAATGCAAATATGGCCTTTGCAATGACTCGCGGTGGTCATGCGATGCATCGAGCCAACGCAGCTATCCTCCCAGACACGTCAGGTCCCGAAGGGATGAAAGGTTTGGTGGGCCAGGGAGATGGAAATCAATCCCATGTGTACTGTAGGGCGCCTTCGACAACTGCTCCACACATGCCCAAAAGGTAGAGATAATTTACAATAATTGTGCAGCCAAGAGGAGATTTCGAGAGCGATCACCTGTCACCTGAAGTCCCGTTGATCGTCGAGTTACTCGAGCGGGCGCCAGTAAATCTTCCACTTTACCTTATCGCGTACAAGAGTAGAGCAGTGGGTTCTGCTCGCTCTTGTAACTCGTCAAGCATCATATCTTTCTTCAAGGCTCTTTGTTAAGAATTCTGACCATCGAATCGGTGGTCTTCTGTAGTACGTTTCACATCCCGAGAAATCCAGTCACTAACGGCTCTTGTCCATCGGTTGTAATTCATGCGCATTACGTGTTCGGTCCACGCAATCTTCGACTGTTTGGTGTACAGAACAGCACCTTTGATTTTTGATCGTTGACGCAGATCGGAGCATCGGATTCCACCACTTACTTGTGTAAAACGGGATTCTCCTAGCATCGCCCTTTCGACTGCGCGTTCCATAAAGCTGCATAACCTTTCATCCTGCTTACGCAGCGACCAAGTTTCTGACGCATACGTTAGCGCAAGAAGTACCGTTAAGTCGGAAAGGTGGGCACGGAGTCGGATGTTCTTTAATCTCTCCACTACATCGTCGATGCTCTTGAAAGCTTTCCAAGCCTCCCGTTTCCTTTTCTCAGCTCTGAAGCTAGGTCGTTCGTATTATTGTTTCCCGACCTGGACAGATATAACTGGAGCATTTGGAGACATTCGTTCCGTTGAGCTTGAATGTGGTATGCGAAACCAATCCGTTCTTCATAAAGATCGTTTTTGTAAGATTTATTCGAACACCAATTTTCCACAGGTTGTATCAAAGTCGGCAAGCATACGTTCCGCTTGGCTGATGTTTGGTGTTATAAGGACGTTATCAGCAAAGCGAAGACAGTGTAACTGCCGACCGTCGATTTTCATTTCCATATTATCCCATTCCAATGTTCGCATGAAGTTCTGAAGGATGGCGGTAAATAATTTTGGCGAGGTGGTATCGCTTTGCCTAACTCCTCTTTTGACGTCAATGTTAATATCGTTGTAGAATAATGATACCTTGGTTGTGAAATTTCTGTACAGTTCACGAAGAATCTTAGGTGAACTGAGTAGGAACTCCTTGACTATCAAGGGCTTCCGTGACTGCTTCTGTCTCAACTGGATCAAAGGCCTTCTGTAAATCGATAAAAGTGAGACAGAGCGAACTTTTGTACTCTCGCGGTACTTCAATAAATCGTGCTACCATGTGGATGTGGTCCATCGTACTAAATCCTTTTCGAAACTCTGCTCACATGGCTGTCCTTCGTCTAGTCTTCTGTGGATTCTGTTTAGGATGACTTGAGTAAAATTTTGTAGACGACAGACAGTAAGCAGATTAGGCGATAGTTGCCGATATCATGCAGGTCACTCTTCTTGAACAATAACAGGGTCCCGCTGGTCTTCCGCCGACTAGGGACCTTGCATTCAAAAAGGTAACGTGTGAAGAGCAAAGCCAGTGTGTTTACGAGGACTAGCGGAAGGTTGTTCAGGTGTTCTGGTCCTATCCTCTCCGGACCTGGTGCTGTTCGATTCACCGAGGAATTGGCATGTCGGATTTTGGAAGGGAAAATCGATAGCACAACATATCCATCCTCCTTTATTTCATATGACGAAAGATGGACGTGGCTATCGAAGAAATCCGAGTAGTATTCGTGAACGATTTGTTCCATTGCATTTCTGAACGCTGTGACTCTTCCGTTTGGGCGCTGGAGTGCAATCATTTTGGTCTTATAATTGGCAAAGCTTCGGTGGGCTCTGCGAATGCTATTCCCAGCCTCTGCAGCTTCGACCACAACAGCTGCTCTTCTCTCTTTAAGATCTTATTTCATCGCCTCTCTACACGGTTTTGCATGTTCGGACGTCAGTTTGCGGTTGCCTGCAGCTCGTACAATTCCACCCTGGCTTATCAGCTCGAGCGTTTCAGGAGACAGATGTCGCTTGGAGACTTTCGAACTCCGAGCTTTCATAGCGCTAACGTGAAGATATTCATCGAACTCATTGCATTCCTCGTCGATGTTATCGACAACGGAGTCTTCCCTACAGCCGGCTAATGACTTTAATAAATCCCAGTTTGCGGTGGTTCTGGGACTTCGGTTTTGGATTTTAGCAGCTTTTTCTCCTTTCTGTGAGAAATAGAATCTTGCACGAAGGAGACAATGGCCTGATCCCGTGTGGAATTTTAGGACAACAGCGACATCGGTTAGGTTAAACCTTCTATTTATTATGATGTGGTCTATTTCGTTATGGTACCCTTCTTTGGGAGACTCCACGTTCAACGCTGAGGGTGGGGCTTCTGAAGTTGCGAGTCACCATGGTTTGTCTTGGTAGCCATGATTGACTCATATAGCCGCTCACGCTATTCGTTCCATTCTAATACGTGAGTTTGAATGCGACGTTCTTCTTTGTCCAATCTTGGCAATGAAATCTCCAATGATAACCTTGAAGAATGTGTGGCCTTGTCTGTTCAACTTCTCCAAGTCCATATAGAACGCTTCGACTTCTTCTTCGTCATAGTTTGATGTCGGCGCGTAAACGACGACGATTGTCAAAACCGGTATTGATCCACATCTTTTTAGTCGTAAACGTCCGATTCGAGTTGTAAGTTGCTCGAATAAATTGATGTTCATGGACAAACATGTGTTGACGAGAACGCCGACTCCGCCGACTCTTTTACTGTCGCATGTTCCGGGAAACAGTTCTTTTCCTGTTTCATAGACGGTGTTGAATGTGTGGCTTCGTCTCGTTTCGGCCAGGCCAATGACATCGTACCTTATCCTTCTTGCTTGCATGAGCATGTCTTCTATCGAGAACTCGGATGCAAGTGTACGTGGTACAGATCGTCACCATAGTTCTTCGTGATCCAGGCAGTTTCCATTGACTTTGAGATTATAGCAGCCTCTCTGTACTCGTCCTACCCAACGCTGCGAAATTGAAGACCCTTTCAGGGTCAGTGGAATGAGACCCGGTTTTTTTTTTACTGTGCTTAGCATTTTTGATACCCACGTATAGCTTACTGGGCTTTGAACGTGAAGGCTGGTATACTCACGGGTAGCTTGCCAGGCTCTCCCAGAGTGGGCATGGAGCTTATTTGTTGGAGCCGGACTCCTAGGCGCCTCCCGTATACTTTCCAGTCACTTGATTTCAGGCTTTTGACCAAATTGACTCGTAGAATACAATCCGTATAAGCAAGAACGCACCCACACACGCATGCATGAATACACCTAGCAAACACAGAAAGTATGTTCCAAATCAGTGCAGCAGAAACAGGGGGTCGATCTCCTGGATCCACCTGCGTCTCAGGGAATCAAGGGTCGCTTTTGGTCCGTGATCAACTCTCTATCCGCCACCTGGGAACGCGCCACGTAGCCTCACGGCTAACCTGCTGGAGATCCATCATATGAGGGAGATCTGTGGTCGAGAGCAATTAGCCGACTACAAATGTCATTTGCATGTTAAAAATCTTTCTTTGCCCAATATTTCACCGTTGCAACAGATATTTGTAGATAGAGATATGTTTAAACAGATATTTATAGATACAGAAAGATTACAGATAAGACATGGATACAGGTTCGGTGAGCACGTGCGACGCAGTGGTCGGGGACACCCTGTAATACACATGGAACATCCCGGACCGCTAGCCCACCAAGTCCTCCATCCTTCCGGAGTCCACAAATTGGTACCAGAGTTGTTCGGGAGGTTTGTAGCACTGGCTCGATACATCAGTAGACCATCTTGAGTCATGGTAAAGGCCAGAAATTCATTCACTCACCACCAGCGATGCTTGATGAAGTCGAATGCATGGCGTATCTCTAAGGGATTGATCAACGCAGAGAGCTTCATCCTTTTTATAGGTTCAGTCTCCGCCGCGGACAGCTGTGGTTCAGAGTTTTGCAAATGTGTCGGCACCATTGTGGTTTTATTAGATATTATTCTTGCCTTTCTCCCAATGGTTTACCGCCTCATCGTGGCTGGGAGGTCTTCCGGGGTATCGGACTGCGATGTACAGCGGGGTGATTCGTCTCCACGACAGGGTCTCCCAAGCTGAGAAGGAGTTCAGCGTTTCCGCCAAGAAGCCTGGCTAAGAGTAAACGAATACTAGGATCCGTCACCGTCCTGGCACCACCGTCTTGGTATTAAAGTTGTATGCTGGTAAATCTCCCTCTAATCCACAAGGGCTGCGACTGCCTGTCGTGGTGGCGACCTGGGGCAGACTTTGGCCAGGCTGTCCTTGGGATTCCAGGGAATAACAATGGCTTAGCCAGCAAATCTCCAAAAAATAGAGATTGTGCTGGGGCCCGCACAACTAGTCAAGACGGGCCATTCAACTATCAAGTATCAAGTATTCTTGCTACGATTATGTCCTATTTCACTCAGTACAACGCACCAACTTAAGATAGCATTTGAAAGGTTTTCTTCTTCGATAAGACATTCGTAATTTTTTCGATGGTTTTTTACCAGTTTCTACTTCATGCACGCAGTGATCGTGGCAGCTTTTCAGACTAGGAAAATTGTTTCCATTGCCATTACAGCCGTAGTATTGGAACGCCTGGCATTTTCTGAAATAGCGCATTGTGAGTACGAGTAACCTAACACACTGGGAACTCTGTGAATTAACCACTTTTCCTACATCACCTGTGGTCCTGTTTAGTGATCGAGTAACTCAAGTCAGAGCCAGTAAACCTTCCATTTCTTCCTGTTGCATGCGAGAGTAGCCTGGGTTCTGCACGCTCTAGGACCTCGTTGAGCATTATTTGCTTCTTCTAGGGTTCTTTAAAAAAATGTGATCACCGCGTCGGCAGTCTTTTTGCTATACGTCTAAAGTCCCAAAAAAACCATTCGCTAACAGCTTTTGTCCATTGGTTGTCTTTCATACGCATCACGTTTCCACCAATCTTATCTTTGACAGTTTGGTGCGTAGAACGGCGTCTTTGACTTTGGATCGCTGACACATGTATCAGTTTCGATCCTGTCTCTTCCGTGCGTGATAAGGGACTTCCCTAAAATCGTCTTTTCGACTGCGAGATATTCATTTCGTTTTGCGTGAAAGGGACATACGTAACCAATCGGTCGTTAATGAACATCGTTCTTGTGAGATTTAATAGAAGATTAGTCGTTCTAAAAGCGTAATCAAGGTCCGGTAGCATTGCATGGCTAATGAGTAGTGCTATGAGAACGGTGTCACCAGCAAAGCCAAGATGCTGTAATTAGAGACCATCTATTTTCACTCCGATATTGTCCCACTCCAGTGAATGTCGTTCTCGAGAGTGGCGGAAAATAATTTTGGCGAGATATTTTCGCCTTGTCGAACCACTATCTTTACATCGACATTAGTGTCGTTATCGAATGGTAATATTCTAGCTACGAACTTTTACATAGCTTATGAAGAATTTTTATGTAATGAGTAGGGACGCCCTGCTTGCCCAGGACTTTAATGACTTCTTATATCTCAGCGGAGTTAGAAGTTTTCTTCAAATTGATGACAGTGAAACAAAACAGTCTGTTGTACTATGACGATACTTCAATGAGTCTAGCTGTAGCGTGGATGTGGTTCGTCGTAGCGAATCCTTTTTGAAGGCTGTCCATGGGGTAGAATTCTGTCAATCCTGTTTGGGATAACTTGAGTGGAAGGCTTACGGATGGCAGACTCCAAGCAGATTGGGCGATAATAGCCGATATCTTCGATGTCATCCTTTTCGAAACATGAACGCGATCTTACTGGTTTTCCACTGAATAGGACCTTGAATTCTGAAAGGTAACATGTGAAGAGCCGAGCCAGTGTGTGATAAGGACTGGCGGAGTGTTCTTCGGATGTTCAGATCTTGTCCGTCCTGACCTGATGTTGTTCGACTCCTCACCGACAAAATAGCACTTCGAATTTCGAGAATTAGTGGAACAGCGAAGCTATCATTCATCATTTTGTATGAGGATAGGAGGACGTGGCTATTAAAGAAATCTTAGTAGTGTTGGTGAATGATTTTCTTCATTGCCTTCCTGGACGCTGTAACTGGTTTAGGCGTGGATGAGAGTGCAATTATCTTGGTTTTGTAACTGGTGAAGCTTTGGTAAGCTTTGTCTTGGTCGTCACGATAAATTCAGGCAGCCGCCTACACTGCTCGTTCCATTTTACTTTGTGGGTTCCAATGTGACTTTCTCATGACATTCTTCCGGATCCAATCTTGGCGTTAAAATCTCCAATACTGGCAATAGAGAATGTATGGTTTTCTTCGTAGAACTCTCCAAGTCCTTTTAGAACGTTTCGACTTCGTCCTCTTCAACTCTTGATATCGGTGCATGAACGACGAAGATTCTCAAGGCTGGTATTGACACACATCTCTTCAGCCTTAAATATTCGACTCAGGTTGGTTGTAAGTGCGTAGAGTTAGTCGATAGTCAAACTTGTGTTGATAAGAACACCAACGCCGCTGATTCTACTATGGCATGTTCCGAGGAACGGCTCTCCTGCGGTATTGTAGGCGGAATCGAATGAGCGGTGTCATCTCGTTTCAGCCAATCGAATTATGTCGCTTCTTATCTTTCTTCTTGCATGCATAATCAAGTCCTCTATCGAGAACTAACATGCAAGTGAGCGTGTATCTCAGTCCTTCGAGATTTAGGCAGCCTAGAATGGTCCATAGATTTTAACACCTTCTCTACGTTCGCCTTTTCCTGCACTGTCATATCGGTGCTCTTTCAAAATCAGGGGAATAGGGTACACTTATTTTAGTGTGTTTAGCATTCATTACACACGTATAGCTTGCTGAACTCTGAAAGTGAGCGCTGGGCATGCTCACAGGTAGCTTGCCATTCCCTCCCAGAATACATGAGAGTTTGTTTGTTGGAGGCGACTATTAACCGCCTTCCATGTACTTAATTGTCTCTTTATTGCAAGGTTTTGGCCTCATTGATTCGTAGGATACAATCCTCATCAAAGGTACACCCACAGCATGTAAAACAAGCGCAGTAGAAATAGAAAGTCTATTTCTGGGTCCACGTGCGTCTTAGAAAAGAATAAGGCTGCTTTTGATCTACGATTAACCCCTCTCCGCCACCTGGGACTCCCCACCGTATTGCGCGACTAATTGGAATGAGATCCATCTGTAAGGGAGACCCTTGACTTTTAGGCTAGCAACCTACCACACCGTACATCACTGTAGTTTACCTTGTTTTTGTATTGAAATAGAATCTCTGAACTGTCATTGAACTACCGTAGCATGGAGTACCAGCGGACACCATCTCATTACAAGTCAACTCTGAAAATTCATCAGAAAATGCGTTTACAGTTATACAACTCTAAAAAAATTCTCTACAGAATATGGTCTTGCATAACAACAGGCTCTAAAAACGAGCTTCATGACGACTCATTTAGGATTCCACCACTAACCAGGTACAGGACAGCATATTGCAGATGGTCCGAAGACAGGAGTCATGCATGAATGAGAATTGGGACAGGCATTTGTAGCTGTGAGACTGCAGATAGCATTTAGTGCTCCAACTCGATATGCCTTAAAGAATCTCGTAAAGATATACAATACGTGAGGGTGATCTACGGACTATTACAGTTTCGAGGGTTTGTTACCTGCCCATGTTGACACTGTGTGTCCAAACAAAATCCTTCACATTCTTCGAGACTGTTGAAGTTGTTGGCGTTTCCTCCACACTGGCTAAAACTATTGTTTAGGTACATTTGGCACCTAAACAAATATTTGTGCTAAGCTGCATAGAAAAATATTCACCTAAACTGAAAAGATCGGCATGATCCAGTTGTCACATCAAAGTAGTAACGACTAACGGAAGAGCGGGTAGAAGCGCAAGCCACGCCACCATTGCGAGACAGCGAACAAACGTTTTCTGTAAGAAATGCAGAGCTTTTCCAGGCTGCACATTGTGTTTTCAAAAACAAAACGATCAAAAGTCTCGAAAAATGCACATATCTCTTTTTTAAATACTTCTGAAGGTTAATATTCCGTGTTACGCTCTACTGTGCTGCAATTACCTCTTGACGGACAACAGTACTGAAAAGAACCAGTCGTAACACATTGATATCCATCTTGGCATGGGTTGTCCTTACCACAAACTGTTGGTCCACCACCTAGTGGCACGCCGGCTGGGCAAACACCTGGAAAACAGCAAGATAAATACTGAGAGGAAAATTCAAACAAAAGATATGAAACAAATATTGAACTAGCGTTCCTGATAATTAAAAGAAGGAAAACTTTTATGCGCTTTGAATAACTATTTCTACTAATTCCCTTAGCAAATAGTGGAATCCAAGCATAATTTGTAAACTACTATTGAATTAAAAGAGCGCGCGTTGCCCAGTAGTTAGAGAACAGGTTAGCAAATTGCTACCAGACCTATCTGGAAGGACAGCGACACTAACTCTATAGTTTGCTAGGCCATCGCGAGTCGTTGTACAGGCAAGATATGCATTCAATCATCTTTAACGATGATTAGTAAAAACGAATGCATTGCGCATCCCTCAGGAATCAGCGAGATGGCTTTATCCTTCATTTTTCTATTAGTCAATTAAAGAAAAAATACTACGTACTGATAGAGTGGCAACATCTTCCTTCTCTGCAGTAGTAACCAGAAGGACAAGGGCGTGATGAAGAGCAGGTTGTAGGACTAGATAGTGGTGACTCGCCACCTGGGCACAGATCTAAATCAAAAGTGTATTTGTATACAATGTAGAAGAGTCTGAGCATGATTTTTACACTATATGAAAAAAGGCGAGCACACTTCAACGTTTTTTAGTTTTAATAACTTTCCATAACAAACAAAGATGAGAATTAGTGACAAACATTGAAAGAACCTTAATATCTGGCTTACCCCATTCATCCGAAGAGGATGAACAGCAAATATGCTTTTGAAGTACCTTACTACGAATGCATGAAAATCCATTTTGACATGAGCTGAAATTAGAGTTTTACAAAATTTTGCAAAAAATTAAAATGTCAGATAGAAATAGGTCGATCTGGAAAGATAAAATATGAAAAACGAGTTTACGAAACTTGGAAAATTAAGAAGGAGCACGTTGAACGTACAATGGCTCAGAAGGCGAGCACTCCACATGCAATTTTGTCTTTGGATGGAGAAACGCAGCTGAGTTGGATAGACAACCAAGGTCTTTTCCACAACATCTTAAAGTTTTTCCATCCATTTAAGATTTAGGATGAAGCTTCCAAATAAATTGAAGTGTTTGAGGATTTGTTACCAAATTCGAGATTTTAAAATTGGGTTTCACACGCTTTCCGGAAAAGCTATTAATGAGATAAACAAACAAGATATTTTTCGTGGAACATTTAGTTTCGTAATATAATTTTCGTTTATTTGGAAAGAATTTTTTGAATGAGTTTTCAATGCTTTGTTACCAATAACCTTTGGTTTGGCTATGGCCGGTTCGGTGAGCTATCACATCAAGTGCATTCGTAAGCAAACACAAAAGATAAATATTGATTCATGGTTCAGTATAAAAACTATGGAAGTTCTAACGTGACCATGTTACAAACCTCGTTATTGTTCCACCAACAAGAGTACATCCAAAGCCAGGGGGGCATGACGATGATGAAGACAACACACACGAGCGCGGTTTACCGGTTGTCTTAAGGAGTAGTTCTTCGCGCAATAGATTAACAAAGAAAATCAAAAGTAGTGAAAAAAGAAGCCAATCGGGAAACTACGTTTGGAGAAACATAGAGCTATTAGAATTAATTTTGTAGACGAGTTTGTACTTTGTTGTACCTGAAAAGGGCAAGTAAATCACAAAGAATGATGCGTTCGCCGTTGATCAATCCCGAGAGATGTTTGGGTATCCTATCGATGTTTCAGGTCAGTATTTATATCCTGACAGACAACTCTGGTCCTAATTGGCCAAATCCGCATGGGATGGAGTGCTTGGTGAGTCCAGGACGCAGGATCGAAGTAACGATCGATCTAGTGCATGTTGCAGGACATCTCCAACCATTGATCTATACGTCTGCATTGTATCTTAAAACTAGTTTTGCTAACTTAAAACACTGTCTAGAGCATTACGTGTTTTACAACTAGAGATTTGAGATCTGCTAGCCTACTAACCCAAACCTTTAAAATCCCTTAAATGATTAGTCACATCGAGGAAACTCTATGATCCTTTGAAATGAAAAGAATTGTTTTGGTTACTTGCAAAACAAATCATGGAATGACTTGTTTAAAAGCTCAGAATTATGGTATGGAATAAGGTATGAGGATTTTTAATAAACCCCTTCAAGTTTTAATTTCTAATGAAGTAACCTCAAAATAAGTTACGTGACCCTGGCCGCACAAGTCTTTGTCAATCGGTGGCGAGGAGCCTTGACAACAATAAGACGTACCAGTACGCTCATACATACGGCATACGTAGCCTAAATCTTGCATGAGAAGCTCTATTTTGTTGAATAAGCATGAAGGAAAATATTTTTTGCGCGAAATGATTAATGAATGAATGAAGAGAATTCGGACTTTGAGCTAAATACGCTGTTCTGGTGCTTTTACACGCTGATAATGCTCGATGTGAATCAGGCAGGCCAAAATTCGTTTAGGAATCTCTACAATTAACTCACCATCAGGACAGCTGCTTATGCCAGGATTGCAGACCATGGGCGCAGAGAGTATTGTCAAGGGTATTCCTGACCCGCAAAGATCATCTGAAAATTTCACTGGTTAGGTTGCATGACATGAGAACGATAGATTGAGCACTACTCTTGCTAGGTGAGCGGTTTAAAATAAATGTTTCTTTGTCATTAACAAACTTAAGCGACGAAGTTTTCCTCATCATTGTCGGGAACTTTTTCGTACGTAGCATACACAAAAACATTAGTGATATACAGATGTCCTCTTAGTGATTTTGGGCCTCAAATTACTTATAGATCTTTGTGGGTGCTGCCAAATTGTCTGGTACAACGTGGGTTAATACGATCCTCTCAGCAACAAAGTCACCCAAGCCAAGAAAGAGCTCGGCATTTCCGTCAGGAACTTTGTATAAGAGAAAACTATATTAAAGTAGAGCCTTGCAGGTTATACGTAGATGCCGTTAACCCAAAAACATTAAAAATGCATGAAATCATAAACAACGTGTCACAGCTTGTTTCCAAAGTGTGACCTCAATCAGCTCTGGAGCGCTGAAAGTCCTTATGAAGGTATTACTTGAGCCCGCTTCCATAGGTCAATGGTTAACAAACCTAAGGCCATATGAATCATATATGATTCATTAACGGTGAATTTTGAAATATGTGATTCATACGTGCATCGCAAGGCGAATATTGTTAAATTATCAGCATAAAGCACCGTGAAATTGGCACTTTCGCAAATTTCTTAATAACACTACAGAACTTACAGACAGAGTTCGAAGACAAAGAGCTTGGAAAATTGAAAAATTGAAGGCTCCGCGTGCAACCAACCGGGGGCTTGAAATAACGGCTGTGAAAAAGGATCGTCGTTTGTCCTATTGTTCACAATTGATTCGCATTTGACTGTTTTCGCATTGAATATTTTTCCTTTGAGACATTTTCTCCTTGAAAATGACCTAAAATTCAGGCAGAAAAAAATTAAAGTGAAATAGTGTCACAGGAGGATATAGTAATCATTAAGTATTGATTTTCAGTAAAGAGGAAAGGGCACAACAACGTTCTTTTAAGTAATTCGAAGTGGGAAGCTCTCTAATGCTACAGAGGCTTATGAAGTAAGATTTAAATTTTGTAGGATACGAGAAGCTTGAATTAGGCATTATGAATAAAATAAGATTAATAGGTGTTGCAACTCAAATTTATGAGATTGTATTGCATAATAATAAAGATGATAACCATAACAATAACAGTAACAGACGTTCTTGCACGTAAGATTGTTATGATTCATTCATGTTTTCTAAGCCCTCAATCTTCCTGCTGTGCTCTTAATAGTCGATTACTGAGAGACTCCTGTAGGAACAAATAGAATTAGGATAGGCTGACAGTAAAACAATAAAACCCATGTTCATAACAACGAGCGAACATATTAGAACGTCTTATTGTGATTGGTGAAATCGGTGTAAAGTTTATTCTTTATCCTCACCCTTCGAGATTGCAATACAAATACGATTCGGGACTATTTGGATCCGGTTTCTTAGCGCTGGACGTGGGATCACACTCCATTTTGGACCACGATAATCCAGCACAACAGAAAAGCTGGAAGAAAGAACTGACAACTTATACAAAAAAGTAGTGATTAAGTTCACAAAATATGTTTAGGGGAAACTTTTCGCAAAATCGATTAGAATTTAAAGTATGTCATGGTTACTTATTTCATTTTCTATGTTCTTTTATTAGTATTCTTATGCAATACTTTGCCGTACAACAAGGATATTATTTCGATATAGAAACAAGTGAGAAAAAACCCCAACGTATCTATCTTACGTTTGAATGCGGTAAGTATTTTCTTAAATTTATTCGATAGTTACGAATCTACCTGGATTAGAATGAAACCCAACTTCATAGTGATGTTGTGAGAGAGACACTGAAATTCAACGTTATCATTCATATTGCGAAATATAACTTTAATGAAGCTGAGATATTGACAAAACTCCGGACCGCAATTGTTGTCATCTGCAACATCCGTGGTGCGGACTTTTGCCAGTATCTCAGCTTCATTAAAGTTATCACTATAATTGTGATTACAGCATTATTAATGCAAACTCGACCGCATAGAAAACAAAAAAATTCGTGAAAGAACTTCGCTTCATGTAGTGACAGTTCTAGGGATTAACAGTTCTCTAGGTATGTTTCAGACAATCTCGACTCGTCACTTCCATCGCATGGTGATTACCATTGTGGAGAAGAGCAGATGAGTTACTTCTATTGCAAAAATCGGCAAATTGAAAGCCTTCGACTAAAATCAAAAGTAACGTGACGACTATCAGTAACAGTATTATTCTGCTTATTAATAGGATATAATTAAATGTTGTAAAGTGAAATAGCTTAAGACAAAGCTAAGTTTAAGACAACTAAACAGGTTGCGTTCGTATTCTACAGAAAGCAATTTTGGTTAGGTCTATTACGCTGTGATGAAAATACCAAAGCTATAGGTGTGATGGATGTGTTGAGAGTTCTTCAAAATCCGCTGTACGAATTTTTTGTTGGTACGTTGATGGTTTACAAATTACAACAAATTCTGCGTAATGACCAGGAAAAGTACTTGTTAAGCGGAAGATTACTTGTGAGCTCGCTATCGTCAAATAGTCTCCAATTGGATCAATGACTCGACTCAGGCCAATTCAAATAACTAGATGAATGTGTCGTTATGTTATGACGCTTGGTTGGTTGTTGAAAACTATGTTGCTTGAACTGACCATAACCTCTACGCTAAGAGTCGAGACGCCTCTGGTTTGTCTATGGTACTCCGCCTCCTCCAAGTAAACATTGCCTGCAATCTCCTCACTTCGTTAAATCGTGTAATTTCGATTGTCTCGTCCGTATTTATTAAAACCCAGTAGATTTGTTTATGATATTTACAAAACGCTGAAGAGGAACATGCAGCTGGTGTTTTTGAAGATATCCAGAAATTGAACGCTCTGATACTCACTTCTGTTTAACCAGAGAGGAGGTTAGGGAAGGCGCGTGTGGACTCAAATACGATATTGAAAACAGCATTAACCATATGAAAAGGAGCAAACTAATCGTGTCTAGACCTCCTTCAGATCGTTCTACAAACAAACAACTGCTTCCACTTTATGATCAGCTCACATAAACGTCACACTCTGTCTGAGTATAATCAAAAGTATATACGCTGTTTCATAATTTTTTTTGACAGATGTCAAGTATTAATGAGCTACTTAGATAACTATGTCCCACAAAATTTAGCAGCAAGATTTTTTCCTTTGTTCACTTATCAGTAGCATTTTATTTGCATCCTTTTTTTCAAAAAATTTTTTCCCTATCCTGTCATCACAGTTACAAACTAGGTGACATGTAAATCATACAGAAATACTTACTTACATACTTGGCTGTTTAGACGTCCCATCCTCACTGATTGTGCGGGTGGCAGCACATTCTCTGCTCCTTCGGAGCCTTGCTGATCTATTCACTTGAGGAAAGCCAAGCCAAAGTCTGACCCGGGTCGTCACCACAACAGCCAGTCGCCGTCCTTGTGGATCAAAGAGAGATTTGTCACAATGTGACTGGAATCGCGGTCGGTCCTGGTATTGGTTTACCCTTAGCTGGGCGTCCTTATGGAAACGCTAGAATTCTTCTCATCTTGGTAGACCCTGCTGGGGGATGAATCCTCCCGGTTTACATCGCAGCCCGATACTCAGGAACATTTCCGAGCCACGACGAGGAGGTAGACCGCCTGGAGACGTACGCAAATGAGGACAGTAAAATCTTAGAAATGACTGAAATACTGGTAAATATCACAAGTTGAGCCATTCGAGTTCCAAGGAGGTTCTTCAGCACCTGTAGATACACTGTCGGTGACTAGGGATGAAAAGGTGCATGATTTGTAGACTTGTGCAAACTAAGCTGTTCTCTCCAATTAGAAGCAAGTATGTTTTTGAAAGTTATTACTCCAACACAGCCCTCAAATACACATTGGAACACCTTAGCCCTGCTATCTTCAAAATTTCAAGGAGATCTGACTCGACCAGCATTCCAAAGATGACGAAATCCTCAAACAACAAGCGAAATGTTCGAAGATCATTATGGGCGATGACTGCGAGGAAAACGAATCGAATACAAGAAGTGCTGGCATCGGAACAGTATATGTAATGATGGACCATCTAAAATAGAAAATAAAATAATCTTACTTTTGGGCGTGTGTAGCGTAGTGGTTAGAGGCGCCCTGCAAAACTAACGAAAGCGATTTAGAGCGCCAGCCTTACCGAGTACTTCAGCCCTCCAAGGTCTGAAGACTGGTACCAGACTGGTCTGGGAGGACATCATACTGACTCGATACATCGCTAAGTCTCCGCGAGTCAATTTATAGGCCAGATATGCAATCATTCGCCTCCAACGATACTTAATGAAACCGAATGGATGGTGCTTCCCCATGTGATCGACCAATACCGAGAACTTATCCTTTTTTCTTATCTTATCTCATTTTTAAAGATGTTTTGGCACTAAAATCTCTAAAAATGGAAAACGAAACTGGAATCAATCAAATTTAGCTATTTTAACTAATTTAATTAATTCAATGGCGTTCTCAGCGACGTCGTCCTGTCCTGCTTGACAAATTCTTTCTTGCCCAATTGCTTTCATGTATGGAACACTAGCATCAAGAAAAAAAAAGCAAGGAATACGTCTTGTTTTCTCCAAAACATTAGAATTTCATCACTGTGAAATAAAGCCATTATTTTTAAACTCCAATTACCAAAGTTCATTGTGGGCTGGGAAATGTCAGTTCAAAGAATCGAAAAAGAGCATTATTTCTTCACCATATGAGTAGAAAACAATTCACGCCTAATACGAAGTGCTAACAATTGCCTTCTATATTTATGGAAGGGAGCTATTTTTGTCAGCACAACAACACCAATTATCAATTTATAGATCCGCGATGCGAAATTAGAAATCCGGATTTCTGACGATTTCTCAACGATACAAATTTGTTGATTGCGGCGCAGCCTGTCCTCAAAAAACGTTTATTTTTGAACAACCTTCTTTGTTTGTGGGTATGTGTATATGTGCATGTGTATACATGTGTGTGTCTGCTTGAGCTAACCGAATATTCTCTGAGGCGATTTCCAGTTTGATTACTCATCGACCGCACACAAATAAAATCACTTTGGGTGTGGGTCACTTTGTTTACACTTCGATTTCAAAATATCCAGTCCACTGAAGTGGACAAAATTTCATGCTGAGTTATTCGATATACAGTAGAAGACCATAAATGGAGAGAATAGTCAACACTACACGTTAAAAACAACGAAGAAGTGAGAAGTGTGGCTCGTGTAGAACTGACAACCGCTTTTTCATCCATAGTGTAAAAAGTCCGTATGAAATAACAGTGAAGTTTTCGGTAAGTATTCCTAGGATCCATTTATTTTTTCCTATAATCGGATGTGATTAATGTCTTTTGAAAATCAATGTATTGTTGTATTGGTTGAATCTGGCAAGAAGGAATGACATGTCAGAACGATTTTTGACTGTTCAATATTTATTCAGCACTAGAAATGAAGAACACTCTACCACAACTCCTAATTTCAAATATTTCCAAAAATACTAGTAAGAGACAGCATTTACGATAGAAGTGGTTCTTCTTCACACAATACTGCGATAGCACTGAGTGTTTGTCAAAGCTATTCTTATACTGTATCCAAATAAGCGTTTTGCATCATAGAAGCAAAATCTTACTTGCAAAGCATTGTAAAAGAGTGATAGCTTGTTGTTTTCATTACAGCAAGCTCTGTCGTCGTGGTTACACAAAGATTCACCAACTTTTGCTTTTTATCCTTTATAAAAAAATAGCTTAGAAAAAGAAACCGTGTTTTTCTGAAACTATCTTAGAGGAAATAAGATGCTGATTACTTAAATTTTTACGTAAACCACATTCTAGAAAAGGGACCAGTGGCTTTTCTTTTGCTAGTGTGCTTTCGAAGGAACGTTTGCTACAAACTCAATCCAAACGACACTATCACGGTCGTTGAAATACCTAAATCTAGACATTGGCAAATTGCATCGAACTATTGCTGATATTCCAAGAATATGGTAGAAAAAATTATGGCGAATGAATATATTGTAGCTCAGCATTGTGTTCTAACAAAGCTATGAAATTTTGGAAAAAAATAAGCAGAATGTTATAAAACTTCAGGAAACCATCGTGAAGCAATAATTTTTATGGTGTAATGCTCGGGTATAATTGCCAATACCTATCACTATTCTTGTCTGGAGTACTGATTACAACCTCATTGGAGTCAGCATCAATCAAAGAAGCTTATCGGGAAGGGCTCGCTCTGACTCTTCTTTCCGATGGCAAACCAGTTTTCTAGTGATGCGCACAATTTGTGGTTGTCCTAGAACATTGTGTCGCACTATACGAATCCATATGGGTATTTGAACTGCGTGATACTGATACCGCAGAGGATCCTGAAAAGCAAAAGAGCGATTGTTTCATGTTACACTCAATATACCATGAAGGAGATAGTTGGAAAGTTGTAAGAGAATAAATACCACGATCACCGCTGCGGGTTTTACGTCGGAGCGCATAGTCTCGTTTAGCTTCTCTAGCTGCTATGTTGAATGGTTTACCAATACCAAGGTGTCGCAGCCCTTAAAAGTCAAAGAAAATTCGGTAATAAGATTTCAGTTTTTGCACCTCATCGTCTTCCCACTAAATTATAAATTGGGGCACGTTTTTGGAAGTGGTTTAGCTATAACTGATCATAGACTATGAAACCTGGCATGTGTCCGCTGTATCCAGCTGCCGGAATATCGTCCACATTCGTTTCCCTTTCCTTCAAAAAAGTGTCATGACATTTGCATACTAATTTTTTTATAGCATGATTACTATGTCAAACAGAAAATCTATAAATGAAATTTATTAAGAGTAGAAAACATGGCTCCTACCAACGAGCGTTTAAGTCTTTTTAAGTGTTTCTTCAACGGAAGATGAATGATAAAAATTTATCCTGTTATTCAGTATGATTATTATAAAACTTTTCTACGACGTAATTATAAGGCGTGCACACCGGTGAAAAGTGTCCTGAATTCAAGATGTGGTCGTCGCTAAAAACAGCGACTCAGGCTAACAAAACCTTATGTCCTTCCAGTGAGCTCCCACTTTCCCACGCAAAAAAATCAGATTGCATGTCCATTACCACTGGAGAGTTGCAAGAGAAGAGAAGGAAACTGAAGCTTGATCCCACTGCCACACTTAACACGGCTAATAATAATTTCCAATTGTAGAAGAGCTTTACAGTGAGATACACATCAGTACAGGTGGAAGAAATTGCTAAAAGCAGCACAAGAAGGAACCAATCTGATGAAATGTTGTGGAGATTTGTGTGAGTATAATGATTCACTGTTACATCTAATGGACAAAGATGGGATCACTAAAGCTGTTTGCCGTGACATGGAAATGATAGCAGAAAAATTCTACAATGACTTTTCCGTTCCACGATTCACGTCCCAGACCCTAAAATCGCAGCTGGAAAAAAGCCACCTGGAATTCTCCCGTCGAAGATTCGAGTTACCATAAAAAATTTGAAAAAGGGTACAACTCCAGTACACGATAATATCGCCACCGACTTTATCAGAGCCAAAAGACACAATTTGCACGTACTTCTCGCAACCCATAAGACATCTTGCCTTAAAAGGAAAAAGTTCCATAACATTGAAGGACGTTTCGCAAGATCATTCAGCCAAAAAAAAGTAACTGAAAAGGTCTGCGTAACTATTGTCCGACCTTTTGTTATAGCCTACGAGCTATTCACAACAAACAACCTGTAGCGTATATCGAAGAGATTGGATGGTAAACAATCAGGTGAGCAGCATTACTCCGACAGGTACTCTGCTGCATGGATCACGTCCATACCATGTCCACAGTCATAGAGACTTCCTAGAAAATCCACCTGACCCTACTTCTTACTTTTGCTCATTGTCAAAAGGCTTTTGACAGTGTCGAAACGAAGGTAATAACAGTCCTATCAGCGCGCGTCGATCAAGGAGTGAGCCCGTCCTACACAAAACTCTATCTGATTGTTATCGGAACTGAACTACGGAAATACAGCTTTTCTATCGAACCGTCACCATACCCATAGCAAAAAGGATTCTACTAGACGACACAATATCGCCAAAGCTGTTTACTAACGCACTGCGGTGGATAATGGTGTCACTCGACTGGGCCGAGAATTGCATTCGTGTTAATGAAAAATTCCTATCTAAATCTTCTTCTTGTCAACCACATCGCTGTCTTTTCAAAAAGTACCAGAGAAGCAAAGACAGACGATAAATAAGCTTAACGAAAAGGGAATGAAGTCGGATTATTCAGGAATTGAACGATCGAGTTTATGAAAAACCCTTGGTGCGGAGGTGAACAAATCAACCTGGATGGTTTCCTGATTACGGAGACCACATTACAAGTGTACTTTGGGTGTTCGATTAACATCGAGAAAAACACGAAGAAAAAATTAGACAGAGGAAGGAGAGCAGCTTGGGCCGCATTCGCGCTTCTCGAAGAAGCCACTGATCAGCTTAAGAACCTAAAAATCAGCGCTCACTTTTCACATTCAACATTCTTGCGTGCTTTCTGTTGTACAGCAGAGGGGTCGGCTGATACTTCAACCACATCAAGAATAGCAGTCTGCACTTTCGGCGGACGTGTTCGTAACTAAATCCAAACAACTGAACTCGCAACTGCGGTTGTTTTACAGATAACGCTTGTATCGAGACTCGCACTCGCCACTATACTCGAACCAAACCTCTACCGCGGAAGACGATTGCGAGACAAGAAACGAATAGAAAATGTGTCATGGTCTGCGCAAGTCGTGAAGACGGGTCGACCAAGCATTCAAGTAAGTAAGTAGGTAGTAAGGAAGATAGAGGGAAATAAAAGTAGTAGTCATAATTTGAGAAGGAAGATAATATTACAAATGCTGATTTAAATTTAAGTGAAACTCCTTGGTTGAAAATGATCACAAAAAATGGATAACTTGTCCACGTTGTAATATCTAACAATGAATTTTTCAGTAATGCGAAAGAAGACCACTATTTCAATTCTTAACGACAAGTGGTTACAAAATCAGTAAGCGCCAAGTTATTGGCTGACCTTCCACCGTGTTGAGCTCTTTGGTGTTTCTTGTCGTTTAGAGCAACCACCTCCAGACATCGTATTACAGGTATTCTCCCATTCAAGTCGTTCCTTAAACTTTTTGCTTAATGTTAATCACCAAATTCTCCAAGCTTTACGATTCAACCTTGCTTTTTGGCACTTCTCCCTTGTTCCACCACCCGCTCTGGAATCCCTGAAAAAGGTCCCGCTCAACCGCGGGTCTTGAAATATTTTTTTGCAGCTTCTGGTGACCACTTCTCGGTAGACTTTTCGCTCTTTGTTTTACAGATGGAGGTCTAGTCCTTGGCTGAGGGTTACGTTCAACGTGAAAGCCGTTTGTCAGATGCTCACTTCCAGGACTGCTCAGTGCCTTGGAAAAATTTCCGTAAAGCAGAGAATTAGCACTATTAATGCAATCTTATACCTGCATTGACAGCGCTTCGCCAAACGTTGTGTTTATAATTTGATTGTTCTTAATTATTCGCACTGGAAACCCTTCACTGTTGTAAATAATCGACATCTCTGAGCTTCCTGGGCGAAACAGCGACAACCGCGACTCTACAGGAATCAAATTATATGAGAAACACGTTTAAATATTTCGAAAAATCACCAGACTTATTTACTTCTAATTTGTCTCTTTATACACATATCACCTAATGCTTTACCGCCTCATTATGACCAATAGATTTCGAGGTAGTGCGACTCACAGCTTTCACTAGGTCTAGGAAAATGTGAGATATTTCGGCGTTCTCATCCAGATACTCAGCTTAAACCAGTGTTAAGAATTACTGCCATTATCTCAACAACATATTCACGGTTGGCAACCGATGATGACTTAGGAAAGCCTTAGCGCGGCTTTTGAGGCCAAATGAAAAGAAAATCTTACCCGGCCAGAAAACTAAATATCGATTTGAAATCGTGCTACGGCCTGTATTATAGGTGATTGATAAAAATGTGCCAAGAGCTCGTATGCCAAGTAAGCAAGAAAGATAACAAAGCATCTAAGTCACAGCAGAACGTAACGTGTTATCCATGACTTCAAGGAGTGGAAATAAAGGGTGTAATGCCAAAAGTGGAAGCGAACTGCTACGATGATCTAGCCTTGCCAAGCAACGGAGAATACTGAAGGCCTCTTGAGTCATTCGATGGTGAACGAGGTTAATGACAACGTCCTGTTGTTTCAATGCGTTTTCCATTGCTAATTCTTATTTGCTTCATTTTTTTCAAACTACCATTTATACACTTCTCCTTTTCCACTAGTACATAGTGAATCAGTGTGAGAATGACATCTGTGGTTTTCCTTAATGTCATTGATATGTGTCACTTTACTTATCTTCCATCCATAGATTTGCTTCGCCAATAAACATTATTTGATCAAAGTAATAGCCAACCATTTAGTGCTATGTTTGACAAGGTTGGCGTCTTTTTGTTAATCGATTAGCACCAGAAGCAGACTACGCTTAGCTAAGTGCTGTTTCGAACCAGAAACCCTGTGAGCACAGCTGGTCATCCATTGCAATGCACCCCTTACCACGTAGTGCTACAAATAAGACAGAAAATAATAAAATTTACTTATACCACTTACAATGCTATCACCAATCAATTTGAGCAGCCATCACTTAGATCTATACGTTTGTATCCCGTGGGGGTTATGGAGTCCATTTTCTGTCTCCTGGGCTCTCGAAGTGTGGACACTGTAGGAACTAATTCCTAAATCCCTTTCGTGTACATCTTTGCTATTCTTTCCCAAGCCTTTGGCCTAATGGACCTCAAGGACAGACCTCATGCAAAATATTAACCAATGCCCAGGATCGACTTTCTGTTAACCTCGGCACTGAAATATGAATGCGTCGTTTTCTTGTTCAGCAATCGCGAGGTTGTTAAACAGCATACATAAACTTCCATTGAAAAACACAATACAATACAACGCCAGCTGACGTTTCGGCAGTATCGCCTTCTTCAGAGCCTGGAAGGGTATGCTGATATACAATCTACTAGGCTAAACGCTTCAACAACACAAAAAAACGAAAAGCTCTATGGTGATTACATGATCAACAACTTCTCGAAAAACTCACCGCTTTTTACGTGACTTCCAATGGGAAAGGTTAGAACAGCTGATTATAGTCGCATGTGGTTGACGACTGCACCATCCCACGTCAAAAATCGATGCGAACATACGGGATCAGGTCGCGTATGACCTCAGGGCATTCATCCCTGCTATTCATTGTAGGGTTCTTGGCATTTATCCAAAAAGCCTCAAGTTTTCGCGCTGGTGTTTTAGACTCCCGTGCAAGGATATTGACTTTTACTTCAAAATCATCTCGGCTATGCTATATATATATATATATATATATATATATATATATATATATATAAAATATATACTATAATATATATAAATATATATAATGCCAAAACCCTACAATGAATAATATATAATAATATATATAAATAAATATAAATATATATAAATATATAAATTCATTCAATTCAGCTGTTCTAACCTTCTTCACTGGAAGTCACGAAAAAAGTGGTTTTTTCGAGAAGCTGTTGATCTTGTAATTATCGCTCAGATTTTCATCTTTCTGTATGTGTTATTGAAGCATTTGAGATGGGAAATTGTATATCAGTATTCAGCTACTGTTGTATTGTACTGCGTTTTTCTAAGGAAGTAAATGTCTAGTGTATAACAACCTCGCGGTTGCTGAAAAAGAAGACGACGCATTAACCAATGCATTAATGCATAACTGTGATTACGTGTGCGAACTTGAAAGAAAAAAGTCAGTTTGGTGCAGCAGAGACAGCGATTGGATCCATTGAATCCTCCTACCTTTAAGAGCATTACATTATTGATTGTAGTTCACGTGCATTTGCAATGAGATCCCATCCCTATTCATCTTCAAATCTTTCACAGCACAGAGCTCTGTGAGTCCTCGAAATTTTCGACAGGGTAAACTTGTTCTAAAGGTCCCGTTAAATATGCTATTCTTTCGTTGTCCTATTCATGGCGTCCAGACCGGAAGTTACCATATACGCAAAAGACCCCATACACTCCACGCCTCAGTGAGCAACTTGGCCAATTATGCTCTTCAGTAAGCAACTTTTAGCTGTATGTAGTGGCATAAGCTTCGCATATATCATTTCCGAATGCTGATCTTTAGGTGAAATGGAATCACAGAGACATCTTTATGGAAGATTTCTCTAATAAGAAACGACATCGGTATATGCCGCTCCTCAAAAAGTGCAACGATTGCTAGGATTTCGAAAACCCAAGATCCCACATTGTTACGAATAGTTGTCTCTGTAACTAGAAGTTCTTATATAATTCTACATGTATGCAACAATTTACCCTGATTTTTCTGTAAAATTTCGACATAAATCCAGAAAACGGTTTTGTTTTAAACAAAAAACTCGCTAAGAAACATTCTCATACCCTCATTGCTGGACAATTCTGCATCATGGGTATTTCTTCCAAGGAAACTCTGATTGGCACGTTTAGGTGAAAATTTAACGCTCTGAAAAAAGATATAGTTGACAACAAATTGCTCAAGCGATGGCCGTCATAATAAAAAGGTCCGGAACAGATGTATTATAACTTGAAATCATACGTAGGGGGTGCTATCGAATGCACTGCCTTTCTCATCAGTTCTCCGCTGTTCCCTAGGAAGGTCAGTTTCAGAATCAAGACCATGATTCTCCTGCGCTTTCAGTAATACTTGTACATTTGATGATGCATCATCATTATTTGATGTGGACTGAAAAAAAAACCTTGGGAAGAAATATAAAGCCAACTTAATATAGAAATAATAAAATGAGCTTAATCGCTTTCTAACTTTTCATTTTCCGACGAAAGCAAGGTAGTTTCTTCCTTGTTTGCTTTTTGTCTCTTTTTGAAAGCGGTTTGATTTAAGAAAACATTTGTTTTCTTCCTAATAAGAAAGTAATGCTAACGGAGACATACCAAAAGTTCCAACATAGACGGTGAAGAAGTAGTTTGAGATATAGTTCGACTTCGAGCAGGAGGGATGTAACGGCTTCCCACCTGCCATTTCGCTCCAGGAATATGCCCAGTAAATCCTGATTACCAGTGATCAGTTACAACCAAGATCATAGGAATTCCACTTTATGTTTTCATCGCATTGTCAAAATAGGAATTTTTCATACCACAGTTATACTGCAAAAAATTTCTTTTAAGTAGCAACTTACCTGAAATGGGCGTGCTGGAATAGCTGGCGGACATTTAAAAGATTGTTCAGGGGTTCTGCTAGCGTTGGCAGCGGCGATCAATCTCAACTCTAACCGGAAAGGTGCGATTTGGTCGCCGTCGCTGAGCAACATCGGTTCTTGGATGGCGTTCGCCCACCTAATTTCAGGACCAGAAACACTGGTTTCGATATTATGAGCAAACATAAATAGTTACAAATACATTACTTGTTTTGATGAACCAATAATTATTTACTCCAACATTACTATTATTTTCTATCGTTGGGGAAAAAATTGTTAGTTGCTAGAACACCTCATCTCATACCTACCTCTCTGTTCTTAGTAGATGTATGAAAAACGTGAACAATGTTTTGTTACACTAAAACTCCAGTTTCACTCTGAATCTTAATTTTTTTGAAAAGCTCACATCTTTCAGATAGATGGTTTGAAAAGCGGAAATAGTGCTCCATAAAGGTTAATTTTTATGACTCTCAAACAGTGATGGTAAATGCTTAGAAGTAAGGAACAATAATATTTTGGCATCTCTTTTTCACCCTAAGAATTTTTCCATTAAGTGAGGGTTGCGTTTAAAATCATCGAATTTAAGGATTTACTACGTTCTAGTCACGTAAAAATCAGTCAAATCAATTATTACAGCTTCCGTTGTAAATGTATAACTCTTTCGTTTATACAACCACAACGTTGCTGAGATATTTGCAAAATTCTGGACCGCAGGTGTCTATGGTGGGGAACGAACGCGCTATTGTCCTTTCCGGGGAGTAACGCGTTCACCACTACACCACGCCGGTCCTTCGTTTCGCCCGTCTCTCAGCTAGTTCTATCGATCTGACCCATCAACGAGATTGATCCGGAGACCTCAAGTCGGCATTTTGTTGGTTAGCTGTTTTAATGTTGGTTCCAAAGTTATTCACTTCAGTAGGCCTGGCAACTTCACCTCTTTACATTTTCGGTTCTATCAGGGCCATCAGCAATCACGCGTTGACGGGGTTGATCTGGGGAACCCAAATCGGCAATAAACCCAGTTAAGCTGAGGCTGTAGCCGAAATCACAATTTTAAGCATTTATTTGTTGTCTATTAAAATTACGGTGAACGTTTTCGGTTTCTTTTGCCTTAACTTTCATTATTTTTAAGTGAAGTGTGGATTGCGCGTTATTATACAAATGTTCTTGAAAAAATGCTCATGTGTTTCTCTCAAACAAGAATTCATAGGCATGAGTTCTGGAGACCACGGATTTCCCTCATATGAGGGATCACGAGCCGGTTGGTAGCAAGGCTACGTGGCGCGTCTCCAGGTGGAGGATAGGAGTTTAATCGCCGAGCAAAAGCGACCTTAGCATCCCTGCGATGAAAGTGGATCCAAGGGATGGACTCACTGTTTCTGCTGCGCCGATTTGGCGCATACTTTCTGTATTTGCTAGGCGTATTCATGCAAGCTTGTGTGGGTGCGTTCTTGCTTATGCGGATTGTACTCAACGAGTCAGTTCGGCCAAAAGCCTGCAATCAAGTGACTGAGAAGTATATGGGAGGCGGTTAGGAGTCGCCTCCAACAAACAAGCTCCATGTCCATTTTGGTAGAGCCTGGCAGGCTACCCGTGAGTATATCCAGCCCCAACGCTCAGAACCCAACAAGCTATACGTGGGTATCAAAGATGCTAAACATAGTAAAAAAAAAAAAACGGGCCTCATTCTCCTGACCCCGAAAGAGCGCCCAATTTCGCAGCGTTGGATAGAGCGAGCACGGAGAGGCTGCTAAAATCTCAGGGTCAATGGAAGCTGCCTGGATTTCAAAGAGCTATGGTGATGATCGGTACCTACAATGCTCGTACACTTGCATTCGCGTCCTCGATAGAAAAATTGCTCATGCAAACAAGAAAGATAAAGTGTGACGTCATCGGCTTGGCCAAGACGAGAAGACGCCACCCTTTCAACGCCGTCTATGACACTGGAGAAGAACTGTTTCTCGGAACATGCGACAGTAAAGGAGTCGGCGGAGTCGGCGTTCTCGTCAACACGAGTTTGTCCATGAGCATCGATCCATTCGAACAACTTACGACCCAATCGGATGTTTACGATTAAGAAGACATGGAACAATTCCGGTTTTGACAATCTTCGTCGTTTACGCGTCGACATCAAACTATGACGAAGAAGAAGTCGAAGCGTTCTGTATGGACGTGGAAAAGTTGTGCAGACAAGGCCATACATTCTTCAAGGTCATCATTGGAGATTTCAACGCCAAGATTGGACGAAGAAGAACGGCACATTGGAACCCACGGATTCACGGATTAGAATGGAACGAACAGGGCGAGCGGCAATCTGAGTTATTCATGGCGACCGAGACAATCCATGGTAACTCGCAAATTCGAGAAGCCCCACCCTCAGTGCTGGAAGTGGGGTCACCCAATGGAGAGTACCATAACGAAATAGACCACAACATAATAAATAGAAGGTTTTGCCTAACCGATGTCGCTGTTGTCCTAAAATTCCACATTGTGATCAGGCCATCGTATCCTTCGTGCAAGATTCTGTTTCTCGCAGAGAGGAGAAAAAGCTGCTAAATTCCAAAACCGAAGTCCCAGAACCACCGCAAACTGGGAGTTATTCAATTCATTAGTCGGCTGTTGGGAAGATGCCGTTGTTGATAACATCAACGAAGAATACGATCAGCTCATTCAACATATTAACGTTAGCGCTATGAAAACGGAGAGTTCGAAAGTCACCAAGAGAGGAAAGGAAGAGCTTGTCTCCAGAAACACTCGAGCTGACACGCCCGCGTGGAATCGCGCGAGGTGCAGGCAGCCGCGAACTAACGTCCGAGCTTGCAAACCAGTGCAAAAAGACGATAAAAGAAGATCTTAAAGAGAGAAAAGCAGCAGTAATGGACGAAGCTGCAGAGGCTGTGAATAGCATTCGCCAAGCCCATCAAAGCTTCGCCAATTATAAGACCAAAATGATTGCACTCCGGCGCCCAGACGGAAGAGTCACAGCGTCCAGGATGGCAATGAAGAAAATTATTCACGAATACTGCTCGGATCTCTTCGATAGCCACGTCCACCTTCCGTCATATGAAATAAAGGAGAAAGGATATGTCGTACCACCGCTCCCCCCCCCCCCCCCCCCCCCCTTTCGAAATCCGACATGCCATTTTGTAGGTGGAAAATCGAACAGCACCAGGTCCGGACAGGGACACCTGAAGAACCTTCCGCCAGCCTTCATAAACATAAACACATTGGCTTGGCTCTTCACACGTTACATGTCTGAATGCAAGGTCCCTACTCAGTGGATAACCAGCAAGACCGTGCTATTATTCAGGAAGGGTGACCTGCACGATATCGGCAGCTATCGCCCAATCTGCTTACTGTCTGTCGTCTACAAACTTTTCGCTCGAGTCGTCCTTAATAGGATTGACAAAACACTAGACGAGGGAGAGCCATGTGATCAAGCAGGGTTTCGAAAAGGATTTAGTGCGTTACACCACATTCGCACGGTAACACGGCTCATTGAAGTATCGCGAGTGTACAAAAGACCGCTCTGTCTCACTTTCATCGATTTACAGAAGGCCTTTGATTCATTTGAGAGAGAAGCAGTCTTGGAAGCCCTTGATAGTCAAGGAATCTCTACTCAGTACATAAAGAATCTTCGTGAGCTGCACAAAAATTTCACAACCAAGGTATCACCATTCTACAACGATATTAACATTGGTGTCAAAAGATGAGTTAGACGAGGCGATACTATCTCGCCAAAATTATTTACCGCCACCCTCTAGAACGTCATGGGAACATTGGGAGGTGATAATATGGGAGTGAAAATCGTTGGTCGGCAATTACACAATCTTCGCTTTGCTGATGACATGGTCCTAACAACACCAAACGTTAGCCAAGCAGAACGTATGCTTGACGACTTTGATAAAGCTTGTGGAAAGATTGGCATTCGAATAAATCTCACAAAAACGATCTTCATGAAGAACGGAGTGGTCTCGCATACCACATTCACGCTCAACGGAACGAATGTCTCCGAATGCTCCAGCTATATCTATCCAGGTCGGAAAATCAATATGTCGAACGATTTAGCTTCAGAGTTGACCAGAAAGAAGCGAGCGGCTTGGGAAGAATCAAAGAACATCGAGGATATAGTGACGAGAAAAAAGAACACCCGACTCCGTGCCCACCTTTTCGACTCAACGGTACTTCTTGCCCTAACGTATGCGTCAGAAACCTGGTCGCTGCGTAAACAGGATGAAAAATAAGCGTTATCGAAAGCGAATTCGAAAGGACGATGCTAGGAGAATCCCGTTTCACAGAAGTAAGGGATGGGATCCGAAGCTCTGATCTGCGTCAACGATCAAAAATCAAAGATGCCGTTCTGTACGCCAGACAGTCGAAGATAAGGTGGGCCGGACACGTAATGCGTATGAATGACATCCGATGTACAAGAGCCGTTAATGACTGGATTCCTCGGGATGTCAAACACACTGTAGGAAGACCACCGACCCGATGGTCAGAGTTCTTCACAAAGAGCCTTGAAGAAGGATATGATGCTCGACGAGTCCCTAGAGCGAGCAGAACTCACTGGGCTACTCTTGCACGCGACAGGGAAAAATGGAAGGTTTACTGGCGCCCGCTCGAGCCACTCGATCACTCAAGAGGAGGAAAGGTGATACAGGTGAGCTCTGGAGTCGCCCTGTGATGAAAAGCTATAGCAGATTCCGTTGTTGACGGTTCAACTGACACTGGATGCACTTAACTTAAGATGCAGTGTAATACAAACGTAGCCACTGGTTCCACTTCGCACTGCGCCACCAGCACGAAAATACTTAGTTGATATGTCTCTAGGAAACTACAAACCATTGTTTAGGTTAAGCACGCAATCAAAGACAAGTTCTACAAGCCTTGTTTTATTCTGCTTCTATCCAAAACAATGTGAAATTCATTATCACCTGTCGCCTGTCCTACCGTTGATCGTTGGGTGAACTAAGCGGGCGCCAGTAAATGTTCCATTCTTCCATGTCGCGTGCAGGAGTACTCCGATGGGGTTCTAACCGCTTTAGGAACTTTTTGAGCATCACATCTTTATTCTAGAGCTTTCGTGAAGAAATTTGACTATCGGGTCAATGCTC